AAACAGCTCTTTTCAGATCAAGCCATTTTTGTAGCATTTTCCTTTAAATGTTAATGAGCTCTGCTGACCCCGCCCCTCTCTTTCAAGCTGCTCTCAGAGAGATTGTTTACAAAAACACTGGGTGGATTTTTATCATTATAGGATGGTTGTGTACACACACTACCAACACACATTTCAGTTATTGTAAAAGTGCATGTAGCATCCTATGACCCCTTTAAAGTTAAAGTTGCAAGTTAAAATCTCGTTTTAATCTTTATTCATCCTAATTAAAGGGGTCATATAATGCTACATGCACTTTTACAAGTTGTTTGAACTGAAATGTGTGTTGGCAGTGTGTGTACACAACCACCCTAAAATGATAAAATCCACCCAGTGTTTTTTTGTTGAAAAGAGCTGTTTTTGAAAGGGTAAAAAAGGTGTTTTTTTTACACTACCATTGAGAAATTTTAACCAAACTATGTTACAGACTTTTCATTAAGACCCTAAAGAATCATATCAACTTGTGGAAAATGGGCATCCTATGACCCCTTTAATGAAAGGAAGCCAGGAAACACTGGCTTCTAACAACGCCTTGGGGGGGAAAAACTATAGCAGTGCTTCAAAATACAACTAGTTATCTAATAAACTTGATGAAAAATGTTGAAACTAAAGAATATCTATGTATCCATTACCACAGGAACCTTACCGAAGAGACAGTCCAGATGCATGACAAATCTCAAAGTAAAAACTATTTCTGGCCTTTAAAAAGTGGTGAAATTCATATGTTTTTGAATGTGCAGTAAGACTATTGATCAAGAGATCCTGGAGAATCTAATGTACATGAAAATAAACCCTGGTCTGGTCTTGCAGAGTTGGGTTAACCTTGAAGCCCTTGCAGGTTTACGAGTAATTTGTTTGTTTGTGCTAAATTCAGTTGTGAATCGAATCGACGTCATTTAAAAAAAACGATTAATCGGAAAATCGATTATTATTATTTTTGCCCAGCCCTAGTTGTGAACAAAGAAATAAAAAATATAAAAGCTGTTTAAAAATATTTTAATAAAAAACAAATACTGATTCATTCACATATACATTTGTTCAAGTAATAATACTTTTTACAGGCATATGTAAATGAATACGCATCAGGCATCTTTATCAAAGTCTTCCACTTGAGAGATGCAACAACAGGAGCATTGGAAATGATTCACGGCCGATCACCACTACTCCATCTTTACCCTCTGGATTTTCCAGGCATTGGACAGAAGCCTGAAAGACATTACATTGGTTTTAATATGTAAAAACAACACTTAAGCTGCTCCTAACCGTATTTATTTCATTCAAACTTTCAGTTTTATAGTTGCCAATCACTTTTTTACACTTTACCCTGACCACAGCATTTACTATTACTACTAACTGTAATCTCAAGCTTGTAAATCCTTTAAATTACATGAAAGCATAGCAGCATTATACATTACAAATAACCAATTCTGATCAATTTGAGCAATGTCGGGCTGAATGAATTATCATAACATACATTTGGTTGACGAGTGTATTGGAAATGATTGGGAAATGATTCTGACTCAAACACCACTATTCCATCTTCACCCTCTGGATTCTCCAGGCATTGAATAGAAATCTAAAACACATTACACATTAACACTTCAACAGCATCTAACAATATTGACTTAATTTAAATACAGTGTTTGTTAGTTTTTAAGCACTTGAAACCATGCTGTGAATATAATATGACATGTGAGTATTATAAAGCTAATAATGTGATATATCATTCCAAAACTGTTTAGCCATGACTGTATTCACAATAGAGCATGACCTCTCAAAATAATACAACTGAGCAAATTCAGGTTATGACTTACGTTTGGTTGACTGATGGAATGGAAAAAATTGTCAAACACCACTTGTCCATCTCGACCATCACAGTTGTCCACACACTGGACAGGATACTAAAACACAATAAAATGGATATCATGCAAAATAAAAACTTTTTAAAGATGTTTAATGAATGAATGGTTTGAATAGACCTGACTACCTTAAGCTGGCAAGTATCGACGACAGTTGGACACAATCCAACATCTTTCAAGCAGGAGAAATTGCAGCATGTGTTCCCCTAATTAAAAAAAAATATCATGTATATAATTAATGTAAAACCTCATGCCAAAAATATGAAGAACAAAAGATATCTCTGTCAAGAGCAATGCAGACTTTATCAGACTGAGTGCCTGTTCGGCGATGTTAACGTATTTGCATTCTAAACAACTAAAATCTCTTTTTAAAATCTCTTTATCCTAATTAATGAAAGAGACTAGTTATTAATTATTATTGAAACCTTTACCTTACAGGGAAGAGGAAAGATACTGATCATGAAATTGCTTCGTCACTTGCTAGCATGAAGCACTGCTAGCAAGTTTTTTATGGAGAGATATGTTTGAAAACTCAATTAAATTGTATTTATAACAGTATTATAAACTACAGTGTAAACAGTAGTTTATAATAAATATTAAGATAAACTATTTTAAATTGTGTTCTTTTCTTGTTGCGACTAGCATGCTCATCTCCATTTTATTCTTCCGGTCAGACATCTATGCCAGATCTATAGCCACTGCAATCTTTTTAGGTTTATAAACCTTTGATAGCTATACGTAATTGCAAACTTATTTTTAGATTACATACCATTGAAATGTCTTGTAGGTATGTTGCTGTTCTTGATTGTGCAGATTTGATCTTCGTAACAATACGATTAGCTTAGCTGCGTTTTAAACGCAAGCCCTCGATTGTTAGTATGTATAGAGATTTATTACGTAGTGCGACACATTCATTCTGATTGGTGGAAAAATAAGACGTTTATATGAAATGCATAAATATATAAGAACTATGAATTAATGTGTTATTAATACATTACATTTTGCAGCAACATACACAAGATGTTGACACATTATAAAAACAATGATTAATAATATGAATAAACATTATTATATTGCATAATGCTTGACAGATCAGTATTATATATCCAAATAATTAAACTAAAGTATTTAAGTATTTGAACACTTTGTATAAGTCACTTAAGTGACTAAACATTTTGAACAATATATCCATTGTTTTAGTATTTGAAACCAAATAAAAAATGATACCTGAATATTTTGATTGTTTTGATTGGAAGGTGTTCTTGTGCTGTCTTTCTTTATAATAAATGTCACTTGGCTATATATATTGACTTACAATGCAAAAACATTTATACATTTTTAAACTTGCATAAAGTGAGCAATTTTTAGGTTACTTTTTAGGTCACATCATATTTTATGTGAAGTGTATTATTGTTAATTATGTAGGCTTACTGTTTAAAGTTGTTACAATATTGGAGTTATTACAAAATTTTAAGTTATTACAAAAGTTATTGCCAACCAAAACTACAAAAGAAGTCAACAATGTAAAGCTTTCTAATAGTCATTCACAGCAAAAAGTTCATATCACCTTTTTGTCCCTGGGTTCAGCATGGTTAAATGAAGCCTTGACACTGTGAAATTCCAATCATCCAACTGCTCCACAATGAAGTCAAAATCCAGAAAAAATAACCCCAAATGGTAAAGCATACTTCCACAGGTAACTACTGACTTTGAATGAACAACTCCGGAAAATAATGATCACACCTTAATGACTCCTGCTCAAAAATGTGAAAACACATATTTTTCATATTTTACTGACGTAATTGCTTACCGGAAAAAAAAAAGTTGACAGGCTTGGCAGGTTTCTCAACTTAAGGAATGCACTGCAAGATGTACCAATATAAAAAACAATGATCCAGGCAGGGCTAGGCAAATAAAAGGAAAAGGAAATGCAAATATTTCCTTGTTTGTACCATGAATTAAATCCTTATAAGTCAAAGTTTTGCAGTAAAGAAAAGATACTAGGAGGTACATCAAATGTTTACAACATGTATTTCTTCAGTAAACTAATTAATTACAAATACAATATCAGTACAATAATCATTCAACAAGCTTGCTGGGGGATCAATGAAAGCTGGTCTACCACAGCCCACAGTGGATAAGGTTTTACATATAGGCTATTACCAACTTGTGGATTACTACCCACAACCCAACCACAAACACTAATCCAGCAGGAGTTTGATTACCATTACCATGAACCATTGATTAATGGCAGATTTAATCTTTTGCACTCCTCCCACTTTAGCTCCAAGGAATAACGCTTTTTTTATTGGGCATCTGCATATGACTCTACTCTTTTACCTGATCAACATTTTATGAGTTGATAGGACCCGCGTTAAACTCAGAGTTCAACAGGGCTTGGCGGAACTGAGAGGCCAATGCAAGCAGCAGTAACCCATCAGTCAGGATCATGGTTATTTGACTGCTTTAATCAAGATAACCCTCTCTAAAATGTGGGTCAATAGATTCATTAGAATAGATGCACAATTTTAAAGTTATGTAATTTCTTGCAGCGGGAGTGGTAGGGGATGTGTTAAATTTGGAGCTCAATATAGTGCTGCAGCCATGACATCAAAACCAAAGACTAATTGTCCTATTTGTCAGAGCCATTTTCCTATGGGGTTTTCAATTTATGAGTAAAACAAGGTCTGTGGTAAATATCAACTGACAATACTTGGACATTTTGCTCTACAACTTGAATTACACACACCTACAAAATACTGAAAACACAAAATGTGAAGCAGTTATGTTTATTTTTTAAAACATATGTTTGTAATAAGTAACTACATAAGGGGTGTGAGTTTGTGCAGTTTACATTGTAAAACAAAACACCCAAGTATTATCAATTTATGTTAACCACAGACTTTGTATTACTTGTAAAAAAAAAACATTACAAAATCCCATAGGACAATCTGAAGGGAACCCATGGCAATTTAGTCTTCCCAAGGATAAATAGAAAGAACATAGCATACAATATTTTTTAAATAATACATTTGATTGGGCCTACAAAGTATTTAAGTAACATGAAAAACCAACCTTTGCTCTTTTGCCTCGTCACAAGGGTCAGTATGACTGGCCAGCTATCAGTACAGGAGTAAAAGCAAAGGCTTGTGACACATCTGGTGAGTGCAACCAGTGCATAGCCAAAAGCACGGGACGGTAAACTAAAATCTCTACCATGGTGAACAGGAGGCGAAATGGGTCCCGTGCTAATGGTCGTGCTGGTCGAGGAGGGGTTCAAACACAGCAACAGCAGCAGCGCAAACGGCCACCAATTAAGGTTAGTTTGAACAACGAACAATTTTATAATTTCAGAATTTGACCATGCAGCGTCTGTTTGGCTCTGAATCATGGACTTTCCTGCCCTTTCTAAAATAGTTACTATTAAGAATATACTATTAAAAAGTAACTATTAAGAATATAACTACAGTGATATATGTCGATTTTATATTAAGAAATTTAAAAATATGCATATCTCTACAGACCCATCCAGACAAAGATTTGCATCAGTATAATATAGAGTTGTTTAATCACCAATGAATGCTTTAAAATACACTGAGGATGGAAATGATATGAAACAAAAAGAACAGCACATGGCTTTCCATCATTGGTATTTCTCTCACGTAACCTCTGGAGTTTCTTATCTGAGTGCAGATACTGGGTACAGATTCCAAGCCCAATGCCTTCCTCATGGCAATTATTATTTGTTTTATATGCAACTCATACTTCATATCCACCATTTGAGTTATCAAGCAGTGGTGTGGTGCAATTACTGTCTATATCTGTGGCCCTCTGAGGGCTTCCCTCCTGAACAGCTGATGGTTCAAAGGGCAATTACAACATCATAGATTATTGGGAGTTCATGCACACACTCATTCATGCATGTTTATCGAACACCAGCATATTTACAGAGTGCTTATGTTCAGTGTCTCTTATCACACTTCAGATAGAAGATAATTGAGAAAACAATTAATCATTTCAACTTCGTTCAAGGAGGTACCAAAAACTCATTGGACCTTCTGCAATTAAATTTTTATACAGCATTTCATTAAAACATCTGATTATTTAAATTTTTGTCAATTCAGACAGCTTCGCCTCTTCTATTCCACAAAACACAAGGTTTGCATAGAGTACATGTGCTTTATGCCAATCATTTTCTTATTATGCATCATAACAGACATTTCTCTCACAGGCTCTTAGAGAACCAGCCATCTTTGCTAAACAATCAGGCAGCGCCTCAGACACCCCACATGACAAAGTGACTTTAGCCCAGGCTCGCCGTGGCACTCCAGGTAAGAGAAACAGATAAGTATAACTCCAAGAATTTGGTGAATCCAAATTGCAAGTATGTTTGTTTTGGTTTTGTGCAGCTCATCGGCCCGTACGAGTGTATGCCGATGGAATCTTTGACCTCTTCCATTCAGGTCATGCCCGGGCTCTGATGCAGGCCAAGAACTTGTTCCCAAACACGCAACTGATTGTTGGCGGTGAGTCACACTGGCACACATACACTCTTGTCCAGTTTTGCAGCAAAACATACACATCTATGTCATCACCTTCAAAAGTGTCCAAAATCTGAAAAAGCCATTGTGTATGCATGGCTTTTTTTTGTGGCATTATTTTAAACCATGTCTGATGACTGCTACATACCTTGTGTGTCTCTCTTTCAGTATGCAGTGATGCCCTGACACACAAGTATAAAGGCTATACAGTGATGACAGAGGATGAACGCTATGAAGCCCTTATACACTGTCGTTATGTGGACGAGGTGGTCCGTGACGCTCCCTGGACCCTCACATCTGAATTCCTGGAAAAACACAAGGTAAATTCATATTTAGTTAATTGTAATATACATACATACATATATATATATATATATATATATATATTAGGGATGTGCATCTCCATGACTCGATGGAGTCTCGATGCATAGCCAACGATACGATACATTAAAGATACATGTGAAGCAGCTACCGATGCGATGCGACACGATTTACCCAGTTACTGCTATCATAAAAATACACTTTATACGTAGGTTTAAAATTCTACAAAAGTAGAAAAAACTCCTGACAGCAAAATGGATATGTTTGCATGACTTTCTAACATTTACAGATGAAAAATATACCTGTGAAATGTCAGTTATGCACCGAGGAAAACACAACGTCTCAAATGCATTAAACAGCACAGATATCTATATGGGGAAGTCGTGGCCTAATGGTTAGAGTCGGACTCGTAACTAGTGTTGTTTTTGGCGGCCTGTTTTAATTTTAGTTTTAGTCTAGTCTTTGTGTGAAGCTGTCATTTTAGTTTTTATTAGTTTTAGTCACGTTCGTACTCTTTTTAGTCTAGTCAAGTTTCAGTCAACTAAAAGTCGGAGCATTTTAATTA